CGCACACGGAATGGATGAAGGGTTACTATGGATTGTGGACCCATATTTTGGCCAGAAAAAAAATATTTAAATTTAAAACGCCTTAATGATGGATGTTTCTTACAAACACGCAGCTTTTTACCTCACATGATGTTAACTGATGGGCTAGACTCATGTTGTTGTGTTGTGATATTTTATCAGCAGTTTGGACTCTTATTGACGGCACCCATTCACTGCAGAGGATCCATCAATGAGAAAGTAATCTAATGCTAAAATTCTCCAAATCTTTTCTAGTGAAGAAATAAACTCATCTACATTCTAGATGGCCTGAGAGTGAGTAAATATTCAGCAACTTTTCATTTGCGTGAACTATCCCTTTAAGTCAGGATATGCGATCATCTGATTGGCTGAAAGGTCTCAGAACCATGCTGTTATGCGTGTTACTTAGACCACCATATAGTTGCATAGTAACAAATCACTTGTGAGAAGAGATGGTAGACTAGTCATCCAGCTAGTCGATCAGGGAGGTTGCCCAGTTAATGTTGATATTTTTAGCAACAGTTTTAATGAGCAAGCAATGACTGTTGCACTGTAAAATTCTCCACCAGAAAAGTCTTTAAATTCATGCCCTTTAAAGCACCACCCTACAGCTAGACGCACTAAGACAGACGTCTTTTGCCTCTGCATTGCATCTTGCACTGTTTTTGAGCATGTCAGTTTAAATAGTCAAATGTCTATGTCTTGAAACTAGTGTTGTTTTTGGCGGCCTGTTTTCATTTTAGTTTTAGTAGTCTTTGTGTGAAGCTGTCATCTTAGTTTTTATTAGTTTTAGTCACGTTCATACTCTTTTTAGTCTAGTCAAGTTTTAGTCAACTAAAAGTCTGAGCATTTTAGTCTTATTTTAGTCAGAATTATCCATGACTATTTTCGTCTAGTTTTAGTTTTTACACGGCACCCCTGCTCTCGACAGACGGCACGCCGGTTGGGAAACACTGATCTAAATAATGCCGTGAGTGGCGCTTGAGGAAGTGACGTCGCCTGCGTCTGCGCAGTGCGACCTGATGCAGCCCCTGAAGTGAGACACAGGATTTAGTCTCGTTTTTATCTGTCAACAATATTGCATTATACATTTAATTATAGTCATCGCCACATGACCAGCATTTACGTTTTCTCGTCTCATTTTCATCACGTGATAAAGGTTCGTTGACAACGATATTTAGTCATAATTTTCGTTGATGAAAGCAACACTACTTGAAACCCTTGCATTCTATTTGATCTATCTGTTTTTGAATGCAATAATGTGTCTTATGTAAACAATACCCCAAAAAAGGCATGATGCATGGCACATTCAGTTTCATTTTATTTGTATAGTGCAGTATTTGGCTGCTCATGGTGATTGTTAATGGCTAATTTCTTGCGTGAACCAGTAACCTTGTAATAACCAGCCCTGAGTTTATTTGAATTAATTTGGATTTAGATTCGCATGACTGCTCTCATTAATTTAAAGGAATGAAAATTCTACCATCATTTATTCACCCTTAAGTCATTCCAAATCATGGAAGGGGATATTTTGAATAAATGTCTGTATTTTTTTGTCCATATAGAAGTGAATTGTTGTTCAGACCCCAAATATCTTCAAAATATCTTTTGTGTTGGTTTGAAACAACATAAAGGTGAGTAAATCATGACAGAAATTCCATTATCCTATTAACGTCTATTCTTGTAAAGCCGCTTTATGTCTTGTAAAAGGGCAATACAAATAAAACTGGCTTGAGTTGGTTTGAAACATTAAATCAAATAGAATAACTGTATATGCACCTTGTAAATGTTCAGTACACACTTGTAGAAACACTTACTTCAAATTCATCTTTCCATTGATGCTCCATTTGGAAATTCTCTGCTGCAGTTGCCAAAGTCTATAAAAAGAACAAGAGAAAATAAATCATTTTAATTAGTTAAGCACTGCATCAAAGTATCTGTGATCATGATCAAAGCAACTCTGATAATGAGATTATTTATTACATTACATTATATATAGCCCATTAACAGCAACATTATATAGCCCTACTGGATATGTATCGTTTAGTTTTTTTCCATCACAATAAAAAAATAAAAAAAAAAAGACTAACTGTGTGACTATAGACAGACCTTAATCATCAAAACAACTGGACCGAACAAATGAACTGCAAATGGAGATAGATACTAGTCATATAACATAGAAACTAATATATAACTGCTGTATGAGTTATTCCAAAACTCAATACATCATCTCAAAATTCTCATACAGAAGAAACAAAACAATTCTGTTCTAGCAGCCTTGGTTCTGGCCCAAAAGGTGACACCAAACAAACATGTGGGCAAGAGGTCTGACAGGACAGTGGGTTCTGTTTAAGAAAAGGGCAGAAGAGAACAGAATAGAACGGAACATTCAGGTCTTTGTTCTGTCACCCGGAGCTCTCTGCAGCTCAACCCCCGCAACACACGCAGTCTGAGAGTCTTCCCTGAAGGAAACGCTAATGTAACATGGTGTGACATTTCCAGAACAAAGACGAGGATTCATGAGTTCTCACTCTTTGACACATACAATATTTCAGAATATATGTTGGTATTTTTACAACTCGGACAGAACAGAATGAATTCTGGCACTACTGTCAGTTACACACGACCATGGTTAACCTAAATCAGCAAATGTATAACTCAAGAGAAAAATATCATTTTCAACGCTGTGCAGAATATATGGAATTTTTTGAGAAGAACTAAACAACTACATTCTTCAGCAGCAACAAACACATTTTTCTATATAATATAGCGTGACAAAATCACTTACAACAGTGTTTAATATTATACTCTGCAGCCCTTCTAGCTATGGTAATAATTTATCTAGTATGTCATGCTGAATTGTTAGAATAATTCTATTTAAAAAGTTAATTTAAATCACTACAAAAAAACAACACTTAACAGTTTCATTTATTTTTCAGTCGGTTATTTAAATTAGCATATTATCTGCTCAGTTATATTTAGTGTAAACATATCTAAGTTCATTGCTTTTAGTAGTAAGTTTGGCTGTTTTTTTTATTTTTATAGCTATTTTAAATAATGAGCAGCTTGTACGGTTTCACCGACTTTGACCCAGATTCTGCCCATGCTGCAAAATCAGCAAATCAATTAAACCAGGTATCTCCAACATATTTGTAGCAAATTCTTTCCTTCCTGTAATTTAGTTTAACATGTAATTTTCACCCCTTCTTTCACCCTTATAAGACCATGTTGGGGCAAAATAGATAAAGGTGGCCAAAAATAATTTAATAAATAAAACCATTTATTAAATAAATAAATAAAATAAAACACATACATAAAATCAGTTGTTTATTATAAATACATTAAAAAAATATTTAAAAAATAAATAAAACTAAATACAATTATTCATTTATTTTTAAACACAAAACTAAAAACTATTTATTTACTCTAAGTAAATGCATAAAAAAAAAAAAAAAAAAAATTAAATAAAACATATAAAATTAATTATTTTAAATAAATTAATTAAAAGCCATTTTTTGCACTACCTTTAACACCACTATATGTAAACGTCCTACTTCTATTTAAAATTTTTAAAACAGGGCCACTCGCTCATGTGTTTCATCAGGGCAGGCTGAGTTTCTGAATACTGAACAAGTGTCAACATGTAAACACAGACAGTCATATGCTAACATGCGTGGTTGTGAAATCACAGTTTGTAAACCAAATGTTTCTGCAACTTAGTTTCAATAAAATGGTCTAGTTAGACAAGGAAGGAAGCTTCAGATTGTGAACTTTACTTTAAAGAGCCTCTCTACATAATACATCAAAATCTTATTTTAAAAGAGCAAAGAAAATGATATGACAAGAAGATGGAATAATATGAGCCTTATTCGCTTTAAAGGTCTCCCGGTTTGGGGCTTAGCTAAAGCTGATGTTCAGTAATGTGAGCTTCCCAACCCGGCATTTGACTTAAATAAACAGGTCCATCAAACCTCAAAACCTGCCAACCAACACAGATACCTGAGATCATCAAATACTCTCTCAATAAAGCCAGCACTGCTCTGAAATCCAACCCTTCATCTAGAACTTAGTACTGTATAATTGTGCAATGCCCCACTTCTGAACCCCAAAAAGTGTAATTTTGCAAGACGGCAAATGTGGGCTCGTAAGGTGGGAGCTAACGATTGCATTTCAGATTCAACTCGCTCCAGTCTGCAACACTCCCATCATGGAGAAAAAAAAAATGCATGTCAACCCTTCTATCCAGACACTATGGATGGTGTTCTTATAAACAGAAGGGCACTCGCGCACATTATTAGACACTCCAGAGCTGGAAATCTGGGCTGAGACAAAGTCCCTTTAAGACAAGTAATTTCACTCGGCGGCCTAGGGCTGGGCGATATAGCTAAAAAAAAAAGATCAATGATATGATGTTTCATATCGTTCGGTATCGATAATTATTGACATTTTTTATCAAAAAAAATTTTAACAAAGAGCAATAGAAATATTTTTTTTAAATTTAACCACTGTATTTTTAAATTAACCCAATTTATTGAGACAAACAACAAATATTTTTTGCTTTAACAATCAAACACAAAATAAAAATTACACAAATATCTAATTTCTAATGTTTTATATGCAGATTAAATAGGTCTTAAGGAAACTTTTGTCTTGTCTCCCGAGGCCAAAGGAGGGCGAAATGAGCAAAATAATGCAGCGCATTTAAATTGTCAACGCAAGGAAGTAACTCTATAAAAAACGTGCATTATGTCTAAATTAACTCATAAAAATCTAATATAATTTTGTAAATTGCATAAACAATTGTGAACAAAACAGCATTATGTATTTATGCATGAATGAATTATGCATAAAGAGCTGAAGCGCCATTCATACAGATTGCATTTAAAAACGCATGAGACGCAGTGAAAAGGAATAAACCTCCACAAATTTGCGACGTGTTTTCTAAAAGTTTAAACTGTTTTAACTTTGCATGACTTTCTATACATCTCTTGTGTGAGATGCGAGTGCAGCAGTCATATTTGTCCATCTAAAAATGTGCTGAATATGCGTTCTGTGTGAATGGCTTGGTTTTGGTTTTAACCTAATCAAGATCTTCTCTGCATTGAGCTTCTGAATTTCTCTAATATTTTGAATGAATAACACAGCAGCTGCGCATCTCGTGGGATGCAACAACATCACTTACATCAACACCGCATCTCACGCACCACTGATGACGCTCCCTGATGCACACCTAACATTCAAATGTTTATTTTAAATTCGACTAATATTCATTCTTTACTCACAATCTCCTCATCACGATATATCGAACATTTTTTTCTATTGTTATCGAAGAAGGTGTACCGTCGATAAATATCGATACCGTTTTATTGCCCAGGCCTACGGCGGCCATCTTTGAAATGCCTTTCAGCTCCTATCTCTTTGAATGGGGTGAATGGGGATCTCCAAAACTGTTCACCAAGCTTACAATTCAATTTCATATTTGAAATCTCCAATGAAATCAATGAAATCGTGCCTCTTATGCTCCAATAGCGTTAAAAAAGCTTATTTTTCAGGCTAGATCAGCCAGTGCGCATGCACAGATCTAAGAGCACGTCTCAGAACGCTGACTGTTTCTATAGCAACCGGGACACTTCTAACGGCAGCTGCAGTGACGCGCTGACTTTACTGATTAGCGATTGGCTCTTTTACTCAGAAGGCGGGGCTTCCTTCGATAGAGCGGCTATAGTGAGCGTTGCATTTTTCCCCATTCAAAACTATAC